CCACTGAATACTAAAAGCCTGTTAAACTCCCCGTCAAAACGGCTCAAAATAACAATTTTTGAAATGATATTCATTTCTCCGTAATATCCTGTCACTGTTTACGCAGAAGTACACAACCTCTAGCGACAGCTTGCGAACAATGCCTCTAGGTACGATCCTGTTTCAGTCCTATTTCCTGTTTCACTTGCGGTGCTCGAGACTCCACTGCTTGCAGTTCGTTTCTCTCTCCATAAACAGGAACTCTAATAAGTACGGATCGAAAGTTTCCTCGTCCGTACAGCTATTTTCAAGTATGCGTTGGACAGGCCCGTTCGCCAGGATAAACGACCGGAAAGGCCGTCTGCTAGCAGTCTAGTTGTTTCGGTTACGGGTCTAATAATCTAGCTCAATATCAAAATAACAATTCTCCCTATTGATCATCATACATTTCTTGTAACAGTTGTGAGAATTTAGTGATTAATCAAGACTTTATTGTAGTTGACGATTTTCCTTATTGTTATTACTTGTCAGGCCGGTTGACAATGTACTAATGATGTTAGGAGAATTTACATCATGATTAACAATAAGACGTTAAAGTTGTAGCAGTAAAAGACTGTTGGAAAGTTAAATTATTTATTGTGGCATAATTAAGTCATTCTTCTATTTTCCTTTCACATCTAGAAACCGAACGGAAACGTGAAAGTACGAACATGATTAAAAATATTGGTATCAGCGTTGGTCTCAACGTTTCTAGATCTCTATTCTGGGTTTTAGCTGCATGTTTAGGCTGAAAGTGAGCATAAGCCATTGTCAGGCTAATCAACATTTTTCGCTGGTTTTCGCAGAAACGAAGTAGCATTACCCTGATAGAGATAATAATCGTCATTATTACTGATATGGTAAGCTTCGCGAATGGCCAATATGGCTTTATCTTGCCCGTACATTTTATGCCAGGCATTTATCCCCTATTAACTAAGCCGGTTCGGTCAAGTTGACTGGATATTGTTCTAGTTCTTTATTTCTGTCTTTATGGGCCCAAACAGCGTCGGTACAACGTCTTGGCCAATATCCAGACATATTGGTCTCACGCTTAATAAAGAATCCTTACACAATGATTCCGAATTCTTCTGGAAACTTAATTATCAGCTTATTTGCTTAGTCTCTTCCGTGGTCTTTATTTGGGTCGTCCAGACCCCACCCTGACCCTGCACCCTAACCCTAACCTAACCCTAACATAGGACATGGCCTTAGTTGGCGTTGACAAGGCGCTGTCGAGGCACAAGGAACTGCTCAAAAGTTTGCTGGGTTGTAAAAAAAGTTCTGCCTGCATTTCTAGCGAAACAATCACGTTTGGTAGGAAACGAAGCGGAAATTAATATTTCAAGGTTCGTAAGTAAGAAGATAAAAACTTTCGTGCTACAATTGATTTAAAAGAAGCCTTTGCAGCGCACAATGCAAAGCAACTATCACACGTTCTTAAAATCCGGAACTCATCGTTCATATCACAGTACAGCTTTTCTTGAGCAAAGCTTAACATTATTTGTTTAGGCCTCAAAGAAATAATGAGTAGCAGTACACTGATAGAAGTGTTTGGTCATATCGTGTTCCGTTTTACACGAGGAGTCACAGAGCACTACAACCCACAAGAACCTGAATACACGGCACAGTCTTTTGGCTACGATCCTCTACAAAGCACAGGTCGAGAATGGTATTATCATCCTGTTGACGAGCTTATTTATCAAGAATACGGCGACAGAGAAGCCACAAGCTTGGACTATCTAGCGTCTAACCACCCAGATGTAAAGGTTATAAACGCGTGTTTGCCGGAGGAAAACRAAGAAACRGAGGAAGATCAACAAGATGAAGATAGAGCAATGGCTTGGAAGCGACTCAGACCATCCGCTCTCCGTACAGTTTGCAAGTCAATGTACATTGGAGCTTTGATTTCACTATTAACGGCGATCATCATAGGTTCAGTATACATGTTGATCTCATACTTATGTAGTAAAACTATAAGTAACTGTGAATTTCATCCAAACACGTCCATTCCATTAAATGTACAATGGATGAGATCAATTTCGCTTGTGATAAGTTACTCTATTTTACACTTCTCGACCTTTGTGAGTATGCTATTTCTTTTTCGTCCATATCAGTTAATGGGCGTGAAAAGGAAAGTCTTCTTAGTTCTCTGCTTTGGATATTGTTTGGACGCATTTTATATCATAGCTCTACAAGCCCTGGGAATATCTCATTCTAAGCCATCTTCTTTACAACTGATTCCAAGCGACGTTATTGGTGTTATAAGTCTATGTTTACAAGTTTATTTTGTAACGAATCACTTTTGTATACGACGAACAAGGAAAAGTCACGTCAAGTTTTTCTTTCAAATGACAGTTGCCTATATTTCTTATTTAATTCTTGCCATTGCTGTGGGTATAATGATTTATCCAGCGTATAACAAACAAGGCAAGGATGGTAAACTTGTAATCGCACTTTTCTCTCCTCTCATTGGAGTCCTTCTCAAAGTAATCCCGCGAGTTTGTGTTCAGCGGTTATACTCGAAATGTATTCACCCGGGATATTCCTATGTCTTACTAACACCACTGTACTGTTGCTCAGCCGTTATGTTTCGAATTTTACAAGCGGATCTTGGCAGTTTACAATCTATTGCTGTTCTTGGAATAATTCACGGCGCTGCAGAAGTCGTAGAACGAAGTACTATGGTTGTCATTGATCACATTTGTCACGTGATTTGCAAAAGAACATCAGCTCCTTGGGGAAGTTTTCGTAATCCTCGCCGTGAGAGACTAATGGCTGATATCGCTATCATGAGCATGTTGCATGAATCAACTGCTATAGTGTCTGTTAACGGATTCTTGTACTTGTATCAATATATCTACTTAAAAGACGATTCTCTTTTAGAGCTCCTACAGTCTTTTGCTATCACAACTTCAGTTCAACTAGTGATCGAGTGGTTTTTCACCAGCATCTCTCTAGCGATCGAGACTCGCTATCAGAATATAGCTGTTATGGCTGTTTGGCGAACACGATGGAAAAGACACTTTTTAGTAGCAACTATAATGTCTTCTATATTTGCGTTATGGAGTACCAAATACCTTTTACCAATTGTACACGATCGCTTTAACAAGTTCTCAAATCAGACTTGTAAAATGCCCTTTACTTGAAGTTAGTAAAACGCTCGGAAAAAAAAACCCTCAGTAGTGCGTAGCGCAATAAATACAATACATTTGAGTTTCTTATCTGAAACACTTGAATTTCATCTGACCACTTTATTGATGGCGAAATTAATTTTGTGTTTTAAAAAGGTGAAGAAAAAAACTACCAAGTTGTGCCATCATCAGATGAACATCAAGGCTCCAAAACAATGTAATGTACGAAAGCCGAGGAGGGACTTCCGACTTCTGAATTCCGACTTCCGACTTCCGACTTCCGACTTCAAAATTCAAAGGACCGATTTTCGACGTAGAACTTATTTACCTGGAGATCGAGTCCATTTAAATCAAATCAGAATCGTATAGACTCTTGTTCTTAGGCATTGTAGTTTGATTAAGAATGAGTTTGAATACAATGTTTATCACAATTTTTATCACCGCTGTTTGTGTTATATTGTTAGCCAAATCAGACGTCAGGTTTCGGGTCAGATTTCATTATTTGTATTATTATGTCTCGGTAAGTTAGTGTTAAGTTAGTGTTAAGTTAGTTCGTATTTGGGGTCAAATTATTGTCTTAAACCAAACATTTCCAGCTGAAGTGAACACCAAATATCCGAAATTTATGCCCTTGAGCGAGATGATGAGCATCCCCGCCTCTTTCAAAAGGGAGTTCCTCTCCACCCCGAACACTATTTCTGAGGTAATGTAACGCAATACGCAGTTAAAAATTCACATTTCTGTTGTTTAAAAGAGTTCGGTCACGCGGTGAGACTATTCTCTAAGCAATCACTATTCACGAGAATAGACTATTCACAGGACTATTCACTTTGCAATCATATCTGTCAAAATTAATTTGTTTTTCAATGCCACCCAATGAGAAACAGATCACACAACGAGATATGTTGTTATTATTTACGACATAAGCCGACGGACCATTATTCTCTTCTAAGGGGGAGGTGGGGGTTGGGAATTTTCTGGGGTATGAATGTTTTTTCACTCATTTCGGGTGCCCATAATTTTTTTGGTGGGCAATACCTTGTGCAAGAATTTTTTGGACATAAAAAAAATCAAAGTAATGATAGTAGAAGCACTTGCACGATTTTTTTTTTTCAGTTTTTGCTGTGCGGGATTTTTTTCTTTTTGGAAATTGTCCAGCTCCCCCACCCCCCTAAGAAAAAAATAATGATCCATTCCTAAAAAACACTCGAGGAAACATACACTGCTCTAGTTGTTTGGAATCAGGCTCAACAAATGTCCACATCAAGACCAAAAAAGGGCATAAGATAATTTTAATTTCCACTAGGGGTTAAAACGTCAGAACTGAAGTCTCTTCATCTGAGTTGATAGTGAACGAAAAAAATTCTCAGAAAAGCAACAAGATAAAGTAATGTTTTATTTAATAACGCACGGTATGAAGAGCTAGTAAAGTGGCACAAAACGACCAGAGAAAAGCGATTCCAAACGCTAATGATTGCACTCGCTAATACACAAAAAAAGGTTGGCAGGCTACATCCGACCAAACTGTGTATAAATAATGTAAGTGTCTATATGTAATGGCACAACAAAATTTGTTAGTATCAGTTCATTGCGATCTTTGTTTGGCGACGTCTTCGACTCGATACCGTTGCGTTTCCAACATGATTTTGCAAAACAAAAGCATCTGTTTCTAGTTTGTCAGTGAAATTACATTTACATAACAAGTACAATGCAGCTTAAAAACATCAACTTACCGAAACATAACAATAAAAATGTTAAAACCTGGCCCGCTTTCCAGGGAAATAAGTCGCACGTCGGAGATCGATCATTTAATTTTGAAGTCAGAAGTCAGAAGTCAGAAGTCGAAGTCGGAAGTCGGAAGTCGGAAGTCGGAAGCCGGACGTCGGAAGTCGGAAGTCGGACTTCGAACGTCGTAAGTCGGAACTCGGAAGTCGGAGGTCGGAAGTCAGAAGTCGGAAGTCGGAAGTCGGAACTCAGAAGTCGGAATTCAGAAGTCCGAAGTCGGAACTCAGAAGTCCCAAGACGGAACTCAGAAGTCCCAAGACGGAACTCAGGAGTTGGAAGTCAGAAGTCAGAAGTCAGAAGTCGGAAGTCGGAAGTCCCTCCTCGGCTTTCGTAGTAATGACATCAAATACAAAACAACCCCAACAGTCTGGGTTAGCTTAGAATCGCAATAAATGTTATTTTTCTTTAAGAGCAAATGTGGGAGGCGCCGTGGCCCAGTGGTGAGTGTGCTGGACTCTGAATCCAGCAGTCTGGGTTCTAGCCCTTGCCAGGGTCTTAATGTTATGTTCTTGGGCAAGACACTACTCTCACAGTGCCTTTCTCCACCCAGGTGTATAAATAGGTACCGGCGAATTTCATGCTGGAGGGTGAACCAACGATGGACTAGTTTCCCATCCAGAGGTAGGGGGGAGGGGGAACAGAAATACTTCCAGTCGCTTGAAGCTAAATTTCCTTTTCTGCCAACAAATAATGCTTCAAAAACACTTAAAATAGCAATGTAATGTTTTTTCATAACCAGGTCTGGAGTTTGATGCTCAGTGCCAAAACGTAAACGAAATCTCACAAATGTCGATAGCAATGTTTTAGAACAATAAAGTTCAAATTTGTGAACAAATACTTTGATCCTCCCTTCAGCGAAAATAAAGATTTTACACCTTATTAATTCAGTAAAAAGAACACAGTCTAGGGTTTGTCCAAACTAATATCAGATTTTAGTCTACCGAGGACGATGCTAGCAAAGTGTTTACATCGAGAACATCAGTTGTTAGTGAAACATTTGCACAGTGATTGATGATATTCTGTGTTTGAATTCCCGATTAGCGCAAATAGGTGTGATTCAAAATGAGTTTTGCACGTTCTGTCAGGCCTCCCCTGTCATTGTGCTTATTCTTTATCTTTTTCATATTACTTAGAAAACTACTGGTTAAAAATAACTAAAAAACAGAGGACGCTTGAATATAAAACTATCATATTTGGAATATTAGATGAGAAATCTGATCTCCTCAACTATTGTATTATATTACATTATAACTTCCTCAATATAGAGTAATTCAGTAATTGTATTTTTTGCAAGTAATGTATTTAAATGTAAGGAGAGTATTGTATTGTTAGCAGTGTAAGTAAACCATATAGTAAGTAATGTAAGTACTGTTCTGTAAGGAGAGTCCATTCCATTAAATGTAGAAAGGATGAGATCAATTTCGACTGTCATCAGTTATTCTGTTACACTTTTAGTCCTTTGCGATTATGCTATTTCTTTTTCGTCCATATAAGTTAATGGGCGTGAAAACGAAAGTCTTCTTGGTCTCCTGCTTTGGATCTTGTTTGGAAGCGTTTTATATCATAGCTCTATAAACCTTACGAGCATCTCATTCCAAGCCATCTTCTTTACAATTGATTCCAGTCAACATTTTTGCTGTTACAAGTCTATGTTTGCAAGTTTATTTTGTAACGAATCACTTCTGTATACGACGGACAAGGAGAAGTCAGGTCAGGTGTTTCTTTCAAATGACAGCTTCCCCATTTTCTGTAATAGTTCTTGCAGTTTCCGTGGCTGAAATTATTTACTCAGCGTATAACAAACAAGGCAAGGATGGCAAACTTCTAATCGCACTTTTCTCTTCCCTCATTAGCGTCTTTCTCAAAGTACTCCAGCGAATTTGTGTTCAGCGGTTATACTCGAAATGTAGTTATCCGGTATATTTGTCTTACTAACACCGCTGTATTGTTGCTCATGTGTCGACTTTTACAAGCGGATCTTGGCACTTTACAATCTATTGCTGTTCTTGGAATAATTCACGGCGCTACAGAAGTCATAGAACGAAGCACCATGGTTGTCATGGATCACATTTGTCACGTGATTTGCAAAAGAACATCAGCTCCTTGGGGAAGTTTTCGTACTCCTCGCCTTGAGAAACTAATGGCTGATATCGCTATCATGAGCATGTTGTATGAATCAACTGCAATAGTGTCTGTTAACGGCTTTTTCTACTTGTATCAATTATGTACTTAAAAGACCATTCACTTTTAGAGCTGCTACAGTATTTTGACTCTCTTCTGCTATCACAACCTCAGTTCAACTGGTGATCGAGTGGTCTTTCACCAGCATCTCTCTAGCGATCGAGACTCGCTATCAGAATAATATAGCTGTCATGGCTGTTTGGCGAACAGGATGGAAAAGACACTTTTTAATAGCAACTATAACTTCTGCTTTAGTAGCGTTATGGAGTATCAAATACCTTTTACCAATTGAACACGATCGCTTTAACAAGTTCTCAAATCAGGCTTGTAAAATGCCTTTTACATGAAGTTAGTAAACCGTTCGAACAAAAACCTTAGTACGGTGCAGCACTTAACATTTCACTTAACTCATGCCTGGAAAACGTAAATTTCACCTGAATTTTACATATGGATGGGCCTTCTCGTCTGAAACATTTCATTTCAGTGGAAATGACAATATGGCTTGTTTAAACGCTCCATCATCAGATGAACGTCAT